TGTTATTGAACAGGCTCAATCTAGCCATTTAAGTGTTGCAAGGGGGTAGACAGTAAGGACTGTACAGCAAGATATTTCGGATCAATATTCAATTTTCCAGCTCGCAGCAACAATCCTACTGTAGCTACCTTAAAATTAGAGTGAATTTTAAAGTATTGTATATAGGATACATATATTCTCATAGCATATAAACTGAGCATTAGAAGGAAATTGCATATGTATGCATGATTTTCAGAAAATTCTGGATCTGGTTTTAAATTTTGCTTAAATGCTTTCAACGCGGTTTTCATTGATTTAAACTTTTTTTGTTTTGTGACACAGAAGTGACTCTGTTGCGTTAGCACTAGCACCTCAATAACGAGAAAGCCGACAGGTTGATGAGGCGATTTAACTTGTTCAATGTCTAGCTTTGTGCAAATTGAGAACGGGAAAACCACATGGGGACCAATGTGCTCCACACTGCCAGGAGGACAGGAACACAAAGAAAACAGGACGCTGGAAACAGCCCTAAATCAGCTCACCATCAACTCACCATTCAGTTGTGCCCTCTTTAACAATGAAGCCAGGTTAAGTGCAGATTACTCTGATGGACGTAAATGTGCAGAATGACTAGCAAATTGGATGGGAGACCTCCTGGGAAAAACTAAGGTTGCTGCTGGAAGAGGTCTTGGTGGGGCCAGCAGGGGGCGCTCACCCTGCGGTCTGTGTGGGTTCTAATGCCCCAGTATAGTGACGGGGATGAGACGTAAAACCGAGGTCCTGACTCTCTGTGGTCATTAAAAATCCCAGGGCGTTTCTCGTAAAGAGTAGGGGCGTAACCCCGGCGTCCTGGCCAAATTTCCCATTGGCCCTTACCAATCATGGCCTTCTAATAATCCCCATCTATGAATTGGGTTCATTACTCTGCTCTCCTCCCCACTGATAGCTGATGTGTGGTGAGCGTTCTGGCGCACTATGGCTGCCGTCGCATCATCCAGGTGGATGCTGCACATTAGTGGTGGTGGAGGGGAGTCCCCATTATCTGTAAAGCTCTTTGAGTGGAGAGTCCAGAAAAGCTCTATATAAGTGTAACCAATTATTATTATTATGTTTATTATTATATAAAACAAACTGACGGGGAGGTCCAGCTCTGTTGGGTCTGGGTAGATTGGTACTTTAAGAAAGTACATAGTGATTGACAGCAACCTAGTGTAACCACACGGCACTGACTGATCAAACCCTCAGCCTTACTCGCTGCTCTTGTTATGGGGTCATCTCCATGAGATTAACCACGCAGCTCATGAAACAATGATTTTCTTGTGAGGGAAGAAGATGATGGTGATCTTACAGAGACGGGCTGGGACAAAACACAAACCTGGCACATGCTTGTTCAAACTCTACAGCTAGGGGGGGGATCTGCCCTGTACATTACAGCATCAGTAACCCCTCAGCACCCCTTTGGGTGACACATCTTACCTGGCCTAAGGATTGTATCGTACACGTCTGCTTAAGAAGAGATACCATCTACAAAAAACTTTTTTTTGGGGGGGGATTATCTCAAACCATAAAGGATGTGTTGATTGCGATGCTTGATAATATGTCTTGCATTGAATTCTAAATGATCACAACTGTGGTCACAAATTTGGGTTATGTATAGCTTCCTCTGGGTGCTCCGGTTTCCTCTCGTAGTCCAGAGACGTACTGGTAGGTTAATTGACCCTGGTGTGTGTGTCTGTCTGCCCTGTGATGGACAGGCGTCTTGTCCATGGTGTCCAGCCTTGCACCTGTTGTTTGCAGGCTCTGGCTCCCGGTGACCCGCAATTGGATTAGGCGGTTAGAAAATGGATGGAGACGTATAGCTGGAGGGATCTGGGTAATCCTCGCGCACACAGTAATGTACCATAGCAGTGTCCTCACCCTGCGACAGGACACTCCTCACCCCAACATTCTCATTTTGGCAGATAACTTCCGTGCGTCATCTTAAGACAGTATATAAGAGAAGATCACTTTATTGGTCATATACAATATCTTGCATTAGGAATTTGTCTTTTTGCATAACACAACTTGCTCTCCATGAGACACACAGATGGGAGAGAGAAGCTTGAGGTCAGAGTGCTGGGTAAGCCATTTATACAGCACCCATGGAGCAGTCGGGGCTAAGGGCCCAACAGATTAAGATTCCTCTGCCGACTGCGGGATTTGAACCAGCAACCTTCCACCCACAGGCGCAGATCCTTAGCCACAGAGCCACCCCATCGCCTATATCAGGGATGGGCATCTCTAGTGCTCATGAGCAGCTGGGTGCTCCAACTTCGCACTGGTACACCCATTATTCTGATATGAAGTCAAACCACCTTCTGTCTTATTCACTTGCCCGCAAAAAGTGTAAATCTCTGGCACATCAGGACTGCAATTGACCATCCCTGGTACTACTTCAAATAAAAACTCCCCGGAAGAGCACCATAGGGATCTTCAGTGGGGTTACCGTGACAGCAGCGGGGATGCTGTGAGCCGGGGGGGGGGGGGGGTGAGATGGGTCAGGCACAGGCTGAGAAGTGAGAGAGGGAGAACAGCAGCTCGTTGCATCTTCAGCACTAAGCCACGGCAAAATATAGCTGGTTTCTACAGACACCAGCTATAAATTCCTGCTGCTCTGCTAAATTCATCCTGACCTTTGTTAGACAAAGCACTGCATTTGTGTTGGGGGGGGTGTATTGTTAGACAAAATAGCTGAGAACCCACAAGTAGTGTACATATCCTCTGCTTGTTTAATGATGTCAAACAAAACCTTTACACCAAAAAGGTTCTCCTGACATCACTGGCGAATCAGCAGTGGGGTACACACTGCTCATCTGCAGGGGACCCAATTAGTGGTGTTGGTTTACCTAATGAAAGTGATAAAATGATATAGTATTGTTTCTTCACATTTTTTCTTCTGTTCAGGATTGTTTAATTAAAGTGGGTTCAAATGCTTACCCGACATCCTCACAGAACTTCACGTTTGGAGAAAAAAACAAACATGTATCCTCAAGCATTTGCAAGACCGCACGAGCACAGACAAACGTCGAGTAATAAAAACGAGATTAAGGACTCCTTTGGTGCTAAATGTTTAATCCCTGTTGGGTGTTTTACCACAGAGATTCAATTAAATTGAAGGCCTGTCTATACTCTGCCCTGTCCATGACTGCGCTGCTCTAAATCATTCAGCTACGATATTAAGGCGTTTCCACATGGCCACCCATCACGGAGGGAATGACATCTTCCACAGAGCGCCATCTGTCCCGAGTCAGGTAAAGAAACGAGTCACCTGAGCGGTTTCAGAAAATTACAACCACATTGGCTCTTTTCACAGCGCACTACAATCCCCAATCTCGCTTAGAAGTGAATAGGGAATTCATTTAAAATATTTTAATAATATTATTTTTCATCAATCAGCCCTTCATTTCACGTATGCCATTAAAAAGATCAGTGTTTCGTTGTGTTTTTTTTTTTGCCGGAGCAAATAGGATCGTGCGGGTGCTTTCGCTCCACTGCGAAGGGCACTTATTTTTAATTTGCCCCCTTGTTTTGAACACAAAAGCGTTGCGTCTTGCGTGCGTGCGCCCGTCTGTCCTCCTCGGTCTCGGCGAAGCGCCTGCCCTCCCCTCTGGCAGTGCGGGGGAGCGCTGCTACTGCGGCAGAGCACCGCCGCCATCTTACCTCTGTGTCTCTACAGCCCTTCCTTCCTCTCTCGCATCCACCTCCTCTCCTCGGTAAAGACATCCACCACCTCACACACGCAACACGGCCCCCGACATCGCCCCCCTCCCCCCGCCGTCTGGGCGTCTATTTCTGCACGCCTCTGGGTGTCATATTCTGTCTTTGTTTTTACTTCGGACCGGCGAGGCTAGCGATACTACAACAAACATTAAATCTCTTTTCCTACCGAAAATCTCGGCCACCGAGAGGCGCATTTAGCTCGAACGCCACCGCAAACGGGGAAAAATAATCCCAACCCGCCCACAATAACGAGATCAAAACACCATTGCATCTGTCTCCACGACATCACCATTTCGCAGGATGGACAATCTTAGGGAGAAGACTACATTATTTACCTTAAAACAACTAAAAGTATGGGTCATTTCTTCCTTCTCAAAAGAAGGTTTAGACTGGGCTAATCTGCGAATCAATCTGGTCTGCGCCTACCAGAAATCACGCAGATTTGCATAGCAATCCCATATGCACTCACGCGTTGCTGTTAGCCTCCAGATGCTAAAGACAACGTTTTTAGCGCCGTAAAAGAAAATGATTATGGTTTTTCCTGCTTTTATTTTTGGCCAGGCAGCTGTCCGTATCCAACATGTCCTGGTAATGCCGGGCAATGTTCTGGAAAACGCAAGACCCAGGAAAACCGCGATCAGCAATTTCGCCACAAACCAACAGAAACCCTCCTGCAGGGCGCATTGCTGCCTGGTTAGCCAGATTCCGCCTTGTTTTTCTAACTACCTCTCTATAAAAAAAAGAAATGGATAAAGGACAAATAATCAGCCTGCCTGGACCCCTCAGCACTAAAGAAACACTCCCCTCCATCCACGAATGCGTGTAATTATCAGGCTCTTAGAAACAATAACTGCAGGTATTGCAGCCATCAATAATGCAGGTCAGTTCACGCAGCACAGCCGTGCTCCCGGCTGAACGGGCTTTTTTAGGTCAGTGCTTTACATAAAAGACTCGATCCCGAACAGCCGCGGGAAGGAACACCCCCGAAAGCCAAACGGGCTCAACCTCAACCATAAATAAAACGGCTGTAAAAAAACCCGAAACGTCAGCAGATCGCTCGCTGCGTTTCTGCCTCGTCCGCCGCCCAGCCAGACCAGCCGCACTCGCCATGTCGAGGACCGTCTGGATCCGTGCGCTGTAGCCGCGCCGGGGTGGGATCGCAGCCGGAGACGCAACAACAGAGCCCGTTTGGGAACCGGGAGCCACGGCTGGGAGACAGCCCCCCTCCGACCATCGGGAAACATCCACCCCCTTTTTCCTACCTCCGCTGTCCAAGCCAAGGAAGCCGCGATGAGCAGCAGGAAAGCCGGAAAGTCCCACATATCGTGCGCTCCCGTCGCGGATGCGTCCCTAGGCTGCAAGGGTGGGTTTTCGCTGCGCCTCTGGCGTCGCTCGACTCTCCGAGAGTCAGTCCGGAGCTGCGTGTCGTGTCGCTGCGCGTCTTGCTCTGAGTCCCGAGCACTGTGATGGAGAAGGAGCGAAGCTGCACAGCTGCTCCGGCTCCACAGTCACCTGACCGGCCGGCGAGAGAATGGGAAAGGGGGAGAGCCAGTCGGATTGGAGAGAGAGAGAGAGGGGGCAGGGGAAGGGGGGCGCGTAGACACTATATTTTGGAAGCGAGCGCCCCCTGCTAGGCCATGACGGAATTACCAACTGGAAATTACAGACGTTTCCAGTTCAGGATTGTTTTGCACTCATCTTTTCAAAAACGCCAAAATCTCAACGCCAGCGTCCCCCTTCCTTCTCATGTAGATTAATTTATCCACACCGTGGCTGTGCGGTATGAGCGGTCTAGAAACGTGCAGGAACGACGGACTGTTAGCTGCGTGTTCTGTCTTATTTTATCCAGTCGTCATCGGGTTAGGTCGGGGTGGTCTGGCGTCACCGATATTCTGCGAGTTTGGTCAGGAACCGATCTTGCACTCTGGGGGAGTTTTACCTAAACTCCAGATACAAAGCCTCTAAAATTTCTGAAAACTGTTAAGCGATGGCTGCTGCCTGGATATCCTGATAACGCGTTGTGCACATTCAGATTGTTTTTTAATTGACCTCAGGTCACTTGGGAGTATTTCGTTGAATTTTCAGGCTGTGAACGGAACGCCAGGTCAGGTCAGTTCGTGTCAAATTGGTGTTACCTTGAAGTGAAAAATTCTTTGCTCCCTGGCCGCAACATCAGCATTTAAACTCGACTCCCCTGTGGTGCCCATATTGTTACTAACGTAACAAAAAGCTACCCTCCCCCAAATTGTGTAACCGCCCCCACCCTGGATCAATTCGATTGACGCTTTATTACACCCTAGGGTCAAACATCACCTACAAACGGTTAAAGACAAGAATAGACTTTCAGGAGCTAAGAGGGCTACTTTCCATTATTTACGACTGAGACGGCAGAGGGTAGAAATTATTTCTTATGTATTAGTTTTCCAGAAGGGAGTAATGTTAATTCCCAGTAGAGGGGGTGAGCCACACACTTGGTAATGTTCTTGGCCTTCTTTACAGCTCTCTGCAGAGAATATTGTAACGCAAATTGGTTCTGGCGAGCGCCATTGCCGCATTCGGTCGACCCCCCACCGTCAGGGGCTCGACTCCCACGTCACTCAACAGGGACCCAGCCCGGTGAGCCAAAGAGAGATCTGCTATCACAGGGAAGGGCGGCGACGTCACCGCTCTGGTAAGCCGGCTCTTACACACCCTGATGGCCGTATGCGTTACAATATTTTACTTGATTTGATTTGTTCCCGTTATGTTGCTACTTCACTAATTTTCCCAACTTATTTACCTTATTGTAGGGTACTGCTGTTGCCACATCAATGGGTATTTTAAAACACTTGATATGAAAGATTTGTAGAAAAGTTGAATATTTCTTTTTTTTTTGCCTTATAGAAGCAGATTTTGTTGGAGTTTTTATAAATGGTCTCACAACATTACTCCTATCTTAGGTATTACATATGACCAGTCCTGGATATGTGTACCCATCGACAGTCTGTACGATCTGATCATTAATTACAGTGGGTAAGAGAGGGGCTGCATTTTTCCTAAACTCAATGATTAGTTTTCAAAACATTTAACTACAAAGAGAGCTCAGGGCACCGTTCAGTAACATCATTTAGACAGGCCTATGATGTCCAACTGCATTTTCTAATAAGCCAGTGCTGTCCATCCATTTACTAACTGCTTTATTCAATTCAGGGTCACAGGGGAGCCGAAGACCCTCCCAGCAAACAGTGGGCAGAAGGAGGGGTACACCTTGGGCAGGACACCAGTCCATCACAGGGCAAACACAGACACGGACACACTCATACCAGGGTCAGTTTTCCCAGAAGCCCTTTCGCCTACCAGGATGTCTTTGAACTGTGGGAGCTCCCAGAGGAAACCCCATGCAAACAGGGGGAGAACATGCAAACTCCACGCAGATAGCACCACAGGTAAGGAATTGAACTCTGGGCCTCCGTGCAGTGAAGCAGGAAAACTAACCACTGTGCCAACATACAACCTGAGCTATGCAAGTGTGCGCTTTCAGCAAAGGAACAAGTGCAGGATAGCTCTATGCTGAAAAGTCCAGAGAAAATTAAGCTTCTTCAGATATGTGAGAGAGAGGAAGGTGGCAGGTTTCTAAAGCACAGGGGAACTGTCGAGAGAGCAGGTGTGAATGGGCACACAAAAGAAAGGAGAGTCCACGGGAGGCAGGATATGGGGGAGAGGTGCGAAAAGCTCAGCTCTGTAAATGAATGGAGTGGTTTAGAAAACCTTTAGAAAGAAGGAAGGTGTGATCCACGTTTAGGGATTATTTTAGCGATTGATCTTTCTAAAACAGGAGTCCTGAAATCCCTGTGAAAGGATGCAGACAGAAAGGTGAGTGAAGCGGCGAAATGGATCTTTAATCCGCACTGCACTGACATGTTCCCTGAAGCGGTTAATCGGTTTTCTTCCTGTCTCACGGATGTAAATGTCAGGGCATTTGCTACAAGAGATGCAGTAAATAAAGTTACTCAGTACACATGACATTCTCTGGATGATTTTGAGTGAGTGGCCCAGGGTGCCATGTACAGTATATACAATACGAGCATTGCGTCATCTTTTTTCACCTGCTTTTTCACACGCAAACCACAGAACGTCAATAAAGGTGTATCCTTTCGTGATGCGTCGCCTAACGCTTCCCTCCAGAGAAAAGAGACGGAGCCACTGGCCTGTAGTCATTGAGCTTACTGTACTTGGATATTTGTGGTCACGTCCTCCGAAAAAGCTTTGTTTCCTAACAAAGAGACAGATTTCTGGGAGCTCGAACCCGCAGGTGTAGGGGACTAATAACGCATCGCATCACCTAACAATAAACAACGCCAGAGAAGGGGGGGGGTCGGGTATAGAATTACTCATTCCGTTATGGTTAGACCCTGAATTATTAATCTTTACACCTCTGAATTTAATGTGAATCCTTATTCAGAACGTACGGCAAATATCGATGTGATCCGGGCAATCTCATTCCTGGATTGAATATGGGAGATTGAATATTCCCCTTGACAAATTAAGTCTAGGCGTGTTTAATGTGCTGACGTTTTAAAAGGAGAGCACTGTCGCTCCCTCAGGCCACCTGCACATTGCCTGTGTCTTCCGAGCTTTCAAATGGCGCTTTAAATGTAACAAATTTAGCGACTTATTTATAATAATAATAATAATTACTATTTATTTCAAAATCTGACGGACAGTCCAGGATGTTATCATCTATTTTTCAGGAAAAACGAAGGTCAGGTAACATCCGTTTGTCATTTTTACAGATAGCAACGCATACAAAAGGGAGAAAAAAAAGATAACGCAAATTCTTTCTCGGGATTAGGAAACAAGAGTCGGTAATTGCTCATTTGCCTAAAACTCAGCGACCAGACTGGAGCTGCGGCTCTCTGGGGAAAAAAAATGAGTCTTTGTGCTACCATCTTGTGGCCAAATTGAATATAGCAGTCAATTCCAAAAATACAAGGCTAATTCCATGCAGAAAAGTCAAATGAGAGAAAAACAAACTCTTAAGCCTTCTTTTTGGGAGAAGAGAAAAGTAGCAGGAGAACAAAGGACAGAGCAGGTGAGAAACAGAGTTCAAACGAATGGGGATCTGGGGAAGAGGTGTGAAAAGCAGAAATGTGTAATTGGAGAGGTTCTGAGAAAACGCTTGGATATTATATACTGTATAAACACAGATCATCAATCTGGTGTTAGTTTTGCAGATCAGTCTGTTATGGGAAAACATAAGGGATATAAAAAGCAATTATAGATTGTCATCCAGTGAGTAAGCAGTCCCGAGAGGTAATATAGAGCTCAAATTTACTGTGTCACATGGACATTACAACAACATACGTAGTGTTACAAATGACACAATGACACTTGATCCATTCAGCTTGTTTGGTAGTTAGTAGCTAGCTAAACCAGGATATCGGCTTCAACCACATTGCTGGGAAGTTTGTTCCACACTCCTACCATCCTTTGAGTAAAGGAGTGCCTCCTGTTGTCAGGAGAACAGCACTTTCCACATGTCCCTTTGGTTTTGTGTTTCACCATTCATTCTGAAGAAATCTGCAGCGTTGTGTTTGACAAAGCCTTTTAGGAAACGTCACACACTTTAATTGCTTAATTGACCCTGAAGATCGCGAGAACACATGGAGGGACAATAAGCAGTACTCCTAATACGGCCCAACCTTGACTCCCTGAGCTCAAAATTAAGAAGTTTACTCATCAGATTCTGTATTGGACTGATGTAGCTCCTCTGGGCAGGTGTGGAGCACGATTTCAAATCAATGGTGCATCGGTGCAGACATGACAGCACACAGTACATACACATATCCATCCATTTCATCCAATTCAGGTCGCGGGAGAGCAAGAGCCTATCCCAGCATGCAACAGACACAAGGCAGGGTACTCCCTGGACAGGATGCCGGTCCATCACAGGGCAGACAGACACTCACACCAGGGCCAGTTTTGCCAGAAGCCAAATAATGCAATGAATCAACCAGCATGTCTTTGGACTGTGTTTGTCTCCTGTCTTTGGAAACAGGAGGACCCACGCGAACACGAGGAGAACATACAAACTCCACACAGATAGCACCCCATGTCCCAGGTTTAGAAATTAACCAAGGGCCCCAGCGCTGTGAGACAGTGATACTAACTACTGAGTCACCGTGCCACCCACCACCACGTATCCCATTAGGTAAAAAAAAAATCACTGGCTGCCTTTTGAAGAACGTTCTGTAAATCCCTCCCACAGGTGGTCGGATTAACACTGAGCCCTGGATTACAAATCTGTAAGAAGTACGCTGTCAGGCTGTGAAAGACTTAATGTGGTAAGCAATTACGCAGGTATGTATCAAACACAGCATGGCAAAATCCCCAAGGAGATTTCTGTAAGAAGACGAAGAGACCAGCCAGCCACTCAGCCTTAGGACTGCTGCGCACACTGACAGAACACTTTATTTTGGCTGTTGACAAAGATAGGGATATTTAAAAACACACAAATACACAGATATATTTATATTAAAATCTCCAGCTCAAGGCATCTCAGTCTTCGATATAAAATACAAATAAGACAGCAGGTGCAAAAATAAACTTGAACTTGAAAAACAAACTTCACAGTTTATCTCCTGATTGTGTTCACGGTGCGGGCTCAACAGAGTTTGCTCCTTGGTGCGCCCGCCGAACCCCGTGAGCGTTAAGGAGCAGGGGTTCAACCCAGGCGGTCTCAGTCGTCGTGTACAGAAGGCTCTGCTTTAGCACAGTGAGGCCAATCTCCCCTCCCTGATCTAAGGGAGAATATGAAGCCTTATATATATGGCTATCTGTACAGGGTTACTGCCTTTGTAAGAACAAACTGGGTCCTCACAGATATAGCTGTAGGCATACACACGTAACTGCAGAGAGATGGGACAGGTACAGGCAAAGCACATCCATGGAGAAAATGCTCTATTGTTTCTTTTGGAGCCAGTGGGATTGGGAACGCTGTCCTTATCCCAGGATTATGTAGGGAGAAGCCTGCTGGAATCGAACGTTTCCTGTGTGAGTAGATGAGGCCTCCTGTTCTGAAGTCCTCAGCCAGATCATCTGGGCTCCAGCAGCTGGCTGGCTCCCCAAGTCTCTGCTCTTCAACACTGGGGATGCACCCACACGCTCATACTGCTCTTCCCCCTTCCTACAAGAGCCAGTTTTTTTGCGCTTACACGGGGGCAGCGAGCGGACTCGCAGCGGAGCCAGTTTCAGCCACTTAGAGCTGCAAGTTTTTACTACATAAATCCAAACCAGGTGCTGGATGTTTCATGCTTGCTACCCCACTGCTGGTATGTCTTCACAGACAGCCCAGCAGAGGTAAAATCCCAGGTTTCTGATGTGGGACAGAAGCTTGTAAATCCTGAAATGGATTGAACAGCTCCGCAATGAGAGTCTCAGTTCAACGCCGCCCCGCACCCCCCACCCCCAGTGAAGGGGCTCAGACAGCAGCTCCACCCCCTACACCGCCGGATCAGGGTCAGTAGGGTCAGATCAGAACTGGGATGGTGGCGATCAGGATGATCAGCCTGCTCCAGCGTGTGAAGTGGTGCTGGAAAAGTAGGGAGTGTTCTCTCACTCTTCCCTCGGGATCGGAGGGGTCGGAGCAATGCCCCAGCAGGACACCAGGGGGCGCTGTGCTGTAGGCGGTGTCAGTGCTGGGACCAGCTGGTGAACCAAGGTCCTGGTCTGTCTGACCACACTGTGGATTTCAGAAGTCCTGGGGCCCCTCACTTAAGAGGGTGTCATGGTTCGAGTTCATCCTCACAGTCGCAGGCTGTTTTGGGGCTGATGGTCTGGCTGCAGCAGGGGGAGGTGGGGCAGACACGGCGGCCATCTTCAGTCGGCGGTCGCTCTCACTCCACGTCCAGTCACTCTTCACAGGGGCAGGCTATTTGGGGATGTAGCCAGGGTAGGGAGGCGGCGGGGGGTAGTGCAGAGTCCGGGGAGGGGTGGGTGTGTAGGGAGGTGGGAGGTCATCGTGGAAGTTCATCTCATAGTCATAGCTGTAGGGAGGAGGGGCGCCTGGAGAGGGGAGAAGAAGAGGGTCAGACACCAGTGCGCCAGATACGAGGTACCACAGCCACACACTGCAGCGCCAAAAGTCTCTTTTACCAGGGGGCGCTATTGTACAAAAGCACTCCAGGTGTGTTTCCTCCTCTGGTTACTCACTCCTGGGGTGACGGGGATATATTTCTGTGGGACACCCCAATCACAAGACACTCATTTCCAGAAATACTTGGGGTGGAGTGCACATGTGTATTTTAGGCCTCCGTGTCCATTAAACTCTGCGTTACCCCTACCTTCAAGATTTCTCTAAGTTATACCCTAGAGTTCACCTGCTGCACTATACTGTCACATTTGAACAGATTCAACTCATGGGATGTTGTTCCTTCCAACATGACTTTTATAGCTGAGAGGAAGTTTCAGGGTCTGCTTTTCTGGTTCACTCTGCACAGGTGAGGAAGGAACTGAGGTGCACTAAAGCCAAATAAGGCAGGTGGGTCTTATGTCATTAGTTCCAAAGTACTGGGAACTTGTGCAAATCAACCGCATTCTATTCTGCAGTTTTTATTTACTTCATTACTAACACTTCACAAAGTACCAGTACCCTGGAAAACATCCAGAAATCCTGCCCCTCAGCTCTGAATGATTTTAGACCAGTGGCCCCCACCTTCCATGTAATGAAGGTATTTGAGCAGATTTTTCTAGCATATTTAAAACACATTCAATACCATTCAGCTCCATCTATGCGGAAGGAAACTTTAAGAACTGCATGTCCCCTCTGCTCTTATCAGATCGATACTGGATAACCCGCAGGCAAGACCACGTCAGTGTAATTTAGGAGTTCATTGTCCTAGCCCCTTTCCTCTTCACCTTATATACATACAGTACGATCTCCAGCACAACAACCCTTCCTATCATCTTCAAAACATTTCTGTTGATTCTTCAGCAGTTGGCCTGATTGCCAAAAACAACGATACTGAGAACAGAAAGCAGATTCAGATTTGTGGCTTGGAATATGGACACCTTTACAAATTAAAATCTGCAAAACTAAGCAACTTAGTTTCCTTCTAAGTGGATTTTAATAATAATAATTCCTTTCACTTATATAGTGTTTTTCTGGACACTCTACTCAAAGCGCATTACAGGTATTGGGGACTCCCCTCCACCACCACCAATGTGCAGCATCTACCTGAATGATGCGACAGCAGCCATAGTGTGCCAGAACATTCACCACACATCAGCTATTAGTGGGGAGGAGAGCAGAGTAATGAAGCCAGTTCATAGGTAGGGATTATTAGGAGGCCATGGGCTTCAAAAGAAAGTTTCCCATTAACTTCAAGGGTACCAATGTAGATATCGTGGAGTCCTACAAGTTCTTTGGTGTACAACTGGATACAAACCTGGAGTGGGGTATAACTTTCTGTGTAAGAAGGGCCACTCAAAGCTTTTTTCTTTCCTGAGGAAGTTTCATTCTTTTAATGCCTGTAGTAAGATGCTGGCTATGTTCAAATAGTGTGGTAGTTAGTATGGTCTTTTATGCATACTTTGGTAACATACTCTGTCCAATTTAGCAGATTATTTAGAGGGGAGGAGCCATTATTGGGACACAACTAGAGTCGGTGAAGGACACAGTACAAAAGCAAATCTTACAAAAAGCCACAAAAGCCCCTGCACACAATGATTTTGGCTATAAAAAGCCTTTTCATCTATCTCTTTTTAGCTCCCCAATGCACCACTGAGAGGTGGTGAAACAGTGATCTAATATGCTTTTGCTTAATCTGGTTTTAAATGGGTTTTCTATTTAAATCTTGCTGGAAAAAAACAACATTTTTCTAATAGGTGTCAGGCACCAACTCACTTGATGGAGCAGTGAGAGAAATTAATCACTCATGAGCTGTGGGCATTAATAGCAGAACAATGACTAAGATACTCAGTCACAAAGCAATTATCTTATATTGTGTTTCATGGTCTATTGAACTGTAGTTCAATGAAGAAAATAGCGACACCCAGTGGTTACTTTCAACCTCCTGTAGAAACAGCACACTAAGCAGGACACGGGAACTCCCATCACCACTAATAATAATAATAACAGCAATAAACTTTATTTTATATAACGCCTTTAAAGGTGGTTTCTCAAAGCGCTTTACAGAATGACAACAGCAATAAATAAAAAGAATACACAAGATAAAACACAATTACAATATACAGAGGAGACCGTGGATGGTGGTACTAAGAAAAGCAGAGAGGTGAAAAATGGAACCAGTTAAGTAAAGCTTTTCTAAAGAAGGTGACTCTCTGATATCCTTGGGGAGAGAGTTCCAGAGCTTGGGGGCATAACAGGAGAAGGCCCTGTCATCCATACAATGTAGACGGGCTTGGGGGACAGTAAGAAGAGCAGAATTAGAAGAGCGAAGGTTGCGAGGTGGGGACAAGGGTGATAATAGTTCAGACAGGTACTGAGGTGCCAAGCCATGCAGAGCATGAGGATTTTAAAGTTCACATGGAATTTGACCGGAAGCCAGTGCAATAGGAGTAGGATAGGAGTAATGTGATCATTTGCACTAGACCTGGTCAGGATTCTGGCTGCTGAATTTTGGACATACTGCAGTTTGTTCAAAGTAGATTTAGATACCCCAGCGAGTAGAGTATTACAGTAGTCAATTTGAGAGAACACAAATGTGTTGATCAGCTTTTCAGCCACAGTTAGTGATAGCATAGGGCGTAGTCTAGCGATATTTCTGAGGCGAAAAAAAGATGTTTTGATGGTATGCTGCACATTTTTAAGCCAGAATCGAATATAACACCAAGGTTTTTCAATTTAGATTGAAGCTCAAGTACACTAACCACATTCCTCCACTGAAGAACATGAAATTAATTCATTTTAATTACTTTTTCAGATTTAATAACCGTAAAACTGTGCTGTCCTTTGTGAAGCCAAAGACAGTGGGGAGCTAAGCAGAAACATAGTTGTTATAAAGATTCTGGGTTTTGGACTAGTGGCATTGATGCTGTTCCCTAAGGATTGTGGGACATCGTTCTAACATGTTGGTAGGACTGGAGGTCAAGGAGCAGGGAACTATTAGACTCGGGGCTTGAGGGTGGAGTCTTACCTGGGTATCCCTGCGTCACAGTGTTTATGTGCGCAGCTCTGAACACGCCCACCCGGGAGCCACGCCCACTCTTCACGCACATGCACACGCACAGGAAGACGCCAGCCACTGCCCCCATCAGGAACACCACGCCGAACACGATTCCTGCAATCGCCGTGCCCCTGCAGCACACAGAAACGGGTGTCAGGCAGACTGGGGCTGACTCCTGGTGCCCATCACAGTCTGCCTTTTCAACAGGATGCAACCTGAGTGAACCCCCCCAATTAGGAATGACCTGTTACTGTTAGATCCAGGCTACTGGGGAACACACAGGGACACACCTTCAACATTCACTCATAGTCCTTGTGATCACACTCTTATTCCAGACTGTGGGCTACATTGCTGAGTTTTTTTTCTTTTCAGGCCAGCACACAACAATCTTAATGTCTCTCAGGATTAAATCCACAGACTCTCTCTTCCTGTTATGCTGAGTCAATAAGGCAGGTTTGCAGGCACACTGCCTGGATCAGCTGAGAAGCTCCAGCGTGCTGTTTAACTTACAGTTCTGTACGTGCTTTGCCATTCACTTCCCAGGCTGGGATAATTAAAAAAGGGCCTAGCACACCTGACCAAACACACCCTTTTAAAAAGAAAATGTTTAATTATGGTAGAATCTTCCAAATATTTGCTATTCCAGCCCTGTGGACGAAGCAGTGCACCCGTGATCTGTAGAGGAGAAAAGCGAACTGAACAGACTGCAGGCATATCCCAGACACAGTCCCCAGAGCCACACAAAGAGGGGAGCAGCGTGTGTCATGGGAGGTCATGTAGCAGGATTGTGGGACATCATTCTTTTCAGACACATCAGCTGTTTTTATAGCTGGGCAACATCTAAAATCATCAGATAACATCTAACCACCTAGCATCTGGATACCTTATGGATACCATCAGATGACATCCATCCACCTAACATCTGGATATGCTGTAGATGTCAGATAACACCCATCCACCTAACATCTGGATAACTTGGATATCATCAGATAACATCCATCCACCTAACATCTGGATAACGCATAGATATCAGATAACATACACCCACTTAACATCTGGATAACTTAGATATCATCAGATAACATCCACCCACCTAACATCTGGATATGCTGTAGATGTCAGATAACACCCATCCACCTAACATCTGGATAACATCCACCCACCTAACATCTGGATAACGCACAGATATCAGATAACATCCACCCACCTAACATCTGGATAACTTACAAATATCAGATAACATTCACCCACCTAACATCTGGATAACTTACAAATATCATCAGATAACATTCACCCACCTAACATCTGGATAACTTACAGATATCACTAGATGACATCCATCCACCTAACATCTGGATAACTTACAGATATCACTAGACGACATCCATCCACCTAACATCTGGATAACTTACAGATATCATCTGTCCATCAAACATCTTAATAACTGATTTCTGGACAGCCAGGTGGTGAAGTTGGTGAAGTGGTGGCAAAGAGAGACAATTGCCAGGGTGTTCGGGTAGAAGGATAGCTGGTGGCAAAGGGGTAGTTAGCTGGTGGTGGAGTAGAAGTGTAGCTGTCAGGGTAGGGAGTTAGGGGGGGTGGCAGCACAATGCGATGTTCAGGGGAGATACTTACGAAAGCACGTCCCCCACGTAGGCGTAGTAGGAGCAGCAGAAGGGCGGCGAGCCGTCACAGCAGTACTCCACGCAGTCCGCACACTGCGCCACACTGTGGCCTGAGAGACACGAGGAGGATTACAAATATAGCGCGCCCACACCTGGCTCCGGCGCCATGACCCAGGCCCTGGCCTTGCAGCCTGGCTTAACACCGTCCTGCGGGGTTTCAGCCTCACCGGGTTCGGGATGGACAGAAGGAAACTGACAGAGGATCAGGGATGGAGAGGAAGAGCACTGCAGGCGAAGAGGACTTGTTGAAAAGACTCCTCCTCCTTCAAGAAACACCTTCCGGGAGACCAGCTGAGAGAGCTGTGCTGTGCCCATTCATTCGCTGTAGGTTTATGTGTGTGGCGATTGCAGCTCGCTGGGTGGTCTCTTTGGACCACACTGGGGGGTTCCAGGCTCTCCAAACCTGCCCGCCTCCTCCTCCACACAGCACACTGATGCAGCACATGGTCTGTAGACACCCAGCCATCAGCGGGCCACCCCTGTCCAGCATCCTGTCTACAGCCTCTTAATTGTTCATAACACACCTCATCGTGACTGCTGTCACTTTGATCTGTTTCCTGCATCGGCTACTTCCATCCTTTTCACACACTATGAAAGGAATCTCTCTCCTCCTGCACAGTGCACTTTAGGCAGGAATCCAGCGAAGATCTTGCTCGCTGCTTAAACCACACACTCCTCGCACAGGCGTGGAGCGCAAGTGAGAGAGAGGCGTCGGAGGAGATCAGAGAGCCTGGCAAGCCCCAGGCTACAAGGGCTTCTGGGCTCCCCAGGCTCGAGTGAACGAGTCTGCCTGCCTCTCACTTTCAGAGTCTCTAAAAGACAACTGCACTAACAAGAGCAGGTCTCTGCTGCTAACAAAGTGCTACTCAGTAAGTACAGGCACTCACTGGAGGGTGGAGGGCAGAGAGCTGTCTGACACACTTTTCTGCCTCTGTAGTTTAGCTGAGCAGGAGTCAACAGAGGTTGCAGTGTGTGTGTGTGTACATGTTACCTGTTATTCCCACAGTAACTGGTTGTGTATTTTACTTTACTTATTTTTTTCCTTTCTCTTCATACACGTATGCCTCTTATTTGTTAAAGGGTTCATGTTGTGTTAAATGTACTGCATATTGTGTTAAGTTTTTTACTTGGCTGCAAAGCAAATAAAGTAAAGTGACAATAAAGTAAGTTAGTGTGGCGTAAGTGTGATGCGTGTGTACGCCACATGGTGTATCTGTTGTGTATGTTCATACCTGGTATGCATACGTATAGAGTATTTGTGGGGTGTGTGTTTGTGTGTGGTGTGTGTGCATGAGCAGTATTAGTGTTGTGCGTGTAAATGTGGAGTTTTTGCTATGTGTGTACATGTAAAGTATGAGTGGAGTGGTTGTGTACGTGTGGACTATTTGCGGTATGTTTATGTGTTGAGTTTTTGTGATGTGTGTGTACATGTGGAGTATGTGTGGTGCATGTGTGTACGTGTGGAGTATTTGTGGCCTGTGCGTTTGTGTGGTGTGTGTGTTTGTGTGGAGTACGTATGGTGTGTGATGTGTGTTTGTTTGTGGTGTGTATGTGTGGTGTGTGTTTGTGTGTGGTGTGTCTGTGAGTGGAGTATGTGTGGTGTGTCTGTGAGTGGAGTGTGTGTGTGTTTGTGTGGAGTATGTGTGGTGTGTCTGTCAGTGGAGTGTGTGTAGTGTGTCTGTGAGTGGAGTATGTGTGGTGTGTCTGTGAGTGGAGTGTGTGTGTGTTTGTGTGGAGTATGTGTGGTGTGTCTGTGAGTGGAGTATGTGTGGTGTATGTGTTTGTGGCACAGACCCCTCCCCCATCTCCTTGGGTGGTCTGTGTCAGAAAGGTTATTTGCACACTTCCTCTGCTCCTGGTCCCTGTAGCCATGGCTGCAGCAGCGAGGACAGCCAGACCCCAGACACAGCGTCCACACACACGCTCCACTGATGCCCGCCTTCTGGGCTCACGTCTGCCTCCCTGCCCCCAGAGCTGGGCAGCTCTGCCCCGCGCTTACACACTGGAGGAGACCCCTTTATCAGCAGGGCCTATGGTAACTGACAAACTGGGCAGGCTGAGAGCACACCTGTCAAGTCGAGCTTGTGTTCCTCTGGATTAGCACAGCCACTCAGGGCCAATGGGCCAGTGGGTGTTTGCGGGTGTAAGTGTGTGTGGTAAGTGGATCTGCATTCTGTCCTGGAGGGGGGAGGTGTGTGTATGGGGGGGGTGTTGGTTTTAAAAGCTCGAACAGACAGCGGGAGGTAAGCCTGCCCCACTTTTGCCCTCACACGGTGGGAGGGCTGTGCAGGGTACTCCCTTCCCAAGACACTCTGGAGGAAATCACAACCTAAGGGCAGTTACAAACGACAGGACATTTGGCCTCTCCTAGTGCACCTGGGTGCCAGCAGCTAATTCATCTCAGGAAGTCCTCCAGCTGCTTCTTGAAAAACGACATGCCTGAGACGCGTGTTCCATACTCCCGCAACTCTAGGTGTATGAAAATGAGCCTCGGGCCACCATACCTCATGAATGGGGGCTTGGGCTTCAGAAAGAGTGGGATAATCGAGCACAAAAATAATTAAGGTAATGTGTTATTTAAGGGGAAAAACAGATGCCATATTAGCAAGATCCCAGTTTTAAACACAGCCCTTTAAATTACTACAGCAATATTACACACAATCATGTATATTTATTCATGCATAATTTTAATCACAGTCAAGGTGTGCATCAGCCCATTATAAATAAAAACGCTATTTTTTATTAATCATCTCATAATTAATAGAATATGATGTGCATTTCAGAAACGGACGTGCCTGTGTCCCCGTTATGCTATTTTACACAAATTGAATCAGGAAGAAATATTTGACTAAACTGTATTTAATCTGTCCTAAAGCAGTTTACTTATCTCCTTTTTGGGAAAGGAGAGTTAACAGGCACATCCAGTATAGACCTACCAGATTACAGCGGGGGCACTGCTTCCAATGAATAATGGATCAAGTATTACTGTTACGTGCATTAATCTAGTTAAAACAGAATTTCCAGTTTATTTTAAGTGTTACTGTAACAACTGTAACACGTAAGTGCAGTTTACAAGCATATTCCCACTCTTACCAGCAAAGACGCAAACCAGTAGCGATTCCCGCAGAAACTGCGCCCCGGGCCGTGCGCCCCTGGTCCCGGCGGCTCTCTCCATACAGACACTCGGAACTTCTCAGCTCCTGCGATTTCTCAACTTTCCGCAGTTCGCTCGGGTTTCACCAGAAACCACCGCGCATCTCCAGCAGACAGGCAATCTGTTCCAGGCTCAGTGAAACTAGTGAAACTAATCTTCGGAAAGCTAAAAATAAATACACCTAATCATAAGATAACTCAGCGAACTAAAGTTTTCAGGAATTGAGCACGAACGTCGGATCACGGCTCCTGGCATCCCCCTGTGTCGCTGCTGCGCCGCTCCACGTGTTCCTGCGCCAAGACCGCAGCCTCCAGCTTTAAACTCCTGACGCCTTCCTCTTTGTTTTCGACTCTTCCTTTCTCTGTTTTTCTCCAGCCCTCTCTATTCATCCTGCTCCCCGTTCCTCCCTCCTCCCTGTCGCTCATTTTCTCCAATTACTCTGCTGTGGGAGGCAGGGTCCTGTGCTCTCCGGCTGGAGACACCGCCTCCATCGTCACGACTCGAGAAAAAACGGCGCCTGTTGATTGTCGGCCGTGCGGCCCCAGGACTGAAATCACACACACGGCTCGACTGTCCTCTCTCCATCACGAACCAACAATCCGCCAGGAGAATGTTGTTTACAACTTTCTTTTTTTAGCTTCGTCGTTTTTTTCTTTCTTTCTATACAAACCATGTAGCTTTTTATTACAATTATGTCCTTGACAGTTTCTTTGTCTGCTCTGATGAACAGAGTTCGTGAATCACGTACTGTTTTCGAAACCCAGGCTGGGTCATAATGAGTATTTATATGAACATCGCATAAATAGTAGTTCTCTTGGGAACTAACACCCCCAGGTATTCAATGCTGTTGAACTCACCTGGAATGGGACACTTTTAGAGCAGCCAAATAAACCGAATCTGCACGAGGAGATGGTAGAACCTAGCAAAAATCGACATGAACACATAGAGATCGTGCAAACTCCACACAGAAGGATCCCAAGAAGGACATTAACCTAGGACCTTAGCGCTGTGAGACACAGTGCTGATCTCCATGTCACTTATCTAACTAGCCACACTCAACCCCCTTGCTGTAGTTGTCCTATCTCGTGGCTAAGCCGCTCTGAAAACACAACCATATCTCCCACTCCGTGGTCCACCTTGAAGACATAAGAGAATCCATCTGTCCATTTTCTAACCGCTTTATCCATTTCAGAGTCATGGGGGAGTCGGAGCCTGCAAGCAACAGGCAAAAAAACAGAGTACAGCCCGGATGGGGTGCCATCCGTCACAGCACACACACAGACACCAGGGATAGTTCGCCATGGAAGCCAACTCATCTACCAGTGTTCTGAATTGTGGTGAAAATCGGAGCAACCTGGAAGAGACCCACATGAACACTGGGAGAACATACAAGCTCCCCACAGATAGCGCCCAGGTCGGGAAAGCAAGCTTCAGGTTCCCAGTGTGGTGAGGCAGCAATGCTAACCAGTGAGCCACCTTCCTGCCCGACATAAGGGAATGCTCCCACAGAATCCATAGCATGCCACGCCTCTCCCGGAGGAAAACAAACCAGGTCTGTGTGGTATTTGGGGACACAGTGCTGCACAGGGTTCGTTTATTGTGGACGTGGGTCTGGTTCAGAATGCTTTCCAACCCCCACCAATGTAAACCCAGTTCAGAACCCCGAGACCCAGTTCTTTGGGCAGGAGGAGGAAGGTGGAGGTTCAGGCCTGGGGAGAACATGCAAACTCCACACAGACTTCCGCACACCTGTCTGGCATCCCTCAGGCCCCCGACCACCAGTCCATAATGTTGCCACCTGTCGGCAAATCGCAGGCTTCTGAGCAGCAGCATCCACCTGCGCCTTGAGGATATTGGGAGATCGGCCAAACTAATGAGACAACAGGCTCAGGATGAGCTGTCAGATCTCAGGTGGAGATGAAGCAAAAAGACCTCCCCTCCCCTTCACAGGGCTGTGCTGTCCTGCTGTGAAGGGGGCAGAGATTGTGTTCACCTGGGCTCGTCCCAACCAGAGGGCCCATGTGCTTCATTCGCAGACTGACAGTTTCGAACCTATTGATGAGATCTACAGCGAGGGGCCAGGGTTTGGAAGGTGAGGTCGAAGTTTAAACTCCTTTTTAAATGGGGAACAGAACGTTTCCTGACAGGACAGAAGGCCATGGATTCTCCTGTGGTTGCCTTCTGTTTGAAATCTGAATCATTTTTCAACCGACCTTTCAATTCCAGTGAGGAATGACTGTGTTTGCCAAGCAAATGCGAGTCTAGATTTGTCATTGCATTGTTGATTTTATTGCGTTCCCCGCTGGAATTACTCTTTCCCTAGCATACTAAATCTGGACTTGTGGCTTAACTTGTGGATTGTGATTGGAAGGGAGGCTGGAGGCCGGTTTGTGCTGGAGCCTGAGTTAAATTTAGGATTTTGATGAGGTTCTGAGACAGGTATGTATCCCTTGACTGCTCTGTAAAAAAAACTAGGGCTCCCAGACAAGGGAGGCTGCGCAGATCATCTCATGTTTCTCAGATCTGTTTATAAAAAATTGTTCTTTAATTGCATCACTTTTTTGGCCATATACAATCCCTTGTTTTAGGAATTTGTCTTTTTGCATACCTCAGCTTGCTCTCCACAAGACACACAGACAGGGAGAGAGAAGCTGGGGGTCAGAGGGCAGGGTCAGCCATTTATACAGCACCCCTGGAGCAGTTGGGGTTAAGGGCCTTGCTCAGGGGCCCGACGAAAGAGGATTCCTCTGCAAGCTGTAGGATTTGAACTAGCAACCTTCCAGCCACAGGCGCAGATCCTTAGCCACAGAGCCACCACACCAGTGTGATTTTTGTGTAAAGTGTTTCAAGTACAAACAACACAGAAACCTTATTGCTGTGAGTCTATTGGTCCATTCTCTCTCTTCTCGTCTTCCTTATTCTCATGTCATTACTCTTATCCTGAGTGAGAACAGAGTGTGTTGTAGCAAATGTGCTACTTGTAGTGTTTGTGCCTCCCTCTTGCGTCTGGTGTTACTTGTGCTCTGCTTGTCTGGTTCTGATGCTCATTTATTCCATGTATACAACTTTACACACTGTACATTCTATAGCAGAAACTACAGAATGCTGTGATTAAGTCTAACTTCCAGTATGTCCTGTATGTAAAATTAGTGCTGTTCTTTTTAAGGTCTTGAGATTAAGGGGTTGGCTCAGGTTTAGGATAGTGGTTAACAGTGGAGATTGAATAAACAGGTTGGGATTTTGTGAGGGTTGGATCTGAATTAAGTGTTAGAGTTAGAGTTGGGGTCTGAGTTATTGGATAGACATTGCAAAGGGTAACTCTTGCCTTAGCTCTTACTCACTGTAACAAAGAGAAGGAAAGCTTTAAACCACATTGTAATGTATCTACAGTCTAAATGCACACGTATGTGTGCACATTCCAGTAAAAGAAAATGTGAGAGACACACACAGCCACTTGATAAAAACCACAGTTGTTGATAAACTGTTCTCTCCTCAGGAGTAGGAGTTGAGAGCTGTATCTCGTAAATTCCTGAACAATTACAGGGTTGAAAATTCGAGTTTTAGAGCACTCTGCCACCTAGCGGATAGAAGTGGTATAGCATCCTCTTTAAAATAAAGGTGACGCTGTGGCGAATGTCCAGCCTGTCGCAGTGTGTGGGCTGCCGCCGTATAGACGGCCATCAGGATCACAGATCCTACCAGTCTGCTTATAGCGCTGGGTCGCTGCCCAGCCTACGAGGCAATAACTCACCATGACCAGATGATTTTTCCTGGAGCCCTGCAAGTACTTGGAACCAGGATTAATTAGGCCCTTCCCGATGGAAGGACGGCCATAGTTTTGCATTATTGCTGTGGTTTTGCTATAATGTTGCTGTGGTTTCAAAAAGCCTCGATTTTACTAGTTTGGATAATGGGTAACGTTGTATACTGTGTGGTAAATATTCCCACTCCTAGACTGCAGTATTCTCATTATCCGATATAGTCAAGATAGATAAGACTTAATTGATCCCGAAGGGAAAACACAAGTAAAGGCATGATAGAACCATAGACATCTGTACTTAAACTAAAATAGAACTTGGTAAAAGTGCAAAAAATGGGACGTTTACCCACATTTTATCATTTACAAATCTGATACAGGCTTTTTTGGAGATGGGGTTTCTGCACGTGCTCACTGAAAAGCCAATGCACGGCACAGATTGAGGCAATAATGGTTTGAGACCAGGTAAAAGATTTGCTTTATTCTAACTTGATCTGCTTTGTCGGCAGTAGTCAGCTTGTCTTTCCCACCACTGGAGAAAAACATTACTGTTCCTCAGGACATGCAGACATTATACACTGCCACACAAAACTGGCAATTTGTTACTGAGAATCTAAAACTAGACATTTACAGTAGCTTAAAACCCCTTATTTCCACAGATCATTTTAGAGTGAATAAATAAAGACAAAAAATGACCTCCACTTGAAAGAAGCCTGGTCTCTTCATCTGGACTTCAAGATTTAATTTATACTAGACACTGTGGATTGCTTTATGGCCCTGTAATTATACACATAATTACAACTTTGTGTTTGGTAGAACGGCAGGGTGGCGCAGTGGTTAGGATCGCTTCCTTGTTCCTTGCAGAGCTAGACCCTGGGTCTAGTTCCCTGGGTGCTGTCTGTGTGGAGTTTGCATGCTCTCCCCATGTTGGCGTGGGTTTCCTCTCACTGTTCAAATACCAGCTTGCTGGTCCATTGGCTTCTGGGAAAAACCGGCCCTGGTGTGTGTTTGTGTCTGTGTGTGCCCTGTGATGGACTGGCGTCCTGCCCATGGTGGTGAATCCTGCCTTGCTCCATTTGCTTCCTGGGATTGGCTCCGGCTTCTCGGTGACCCTGAATACAAGAATTTCATCCTGAATAAGACGAAGTAGTTAGTATGTGGATGGATGTGCTGTCGTTTGAAAGCTATTTAAAATCTCTGAAGACAGAAACAGTGGACACCAGCTGTGTACACCCAGTCCAGTCCTGTCCAGCCAGTCCAATTCATCTCCAGCTCTCAGGCACATAGCTGACCGATCCAAAGGAATCAGGAAGCTCCTCCACATTGCAGCAGGCACACTTCACAGTGAAATATTCCAGATTCCTGCAGCCCCCCCACCCTTCCCCCTGTTCAGAGATAAGACACACATTCCAGAAACCACAGAGAGGACCCTCCAACCCACACCCCACATCCCATCAGCCCCCTCTCGCCTCCTGGCCAGAGAGCCCCCCCTTCCTGCGGCAGGAAACAGTTCGAGGTTTAATCATGGCACCCGCCATGAGCATCACTCGCACAGTGAGCCGATTCAGCAGTGCAGGAATGTCTGATGGGCGCAAAAAAAAAAGAAAAGCCGACTCCTACAATAGCCATGAATCGTGCTTTTGTGCTCCCGGGTTACCCTGGGCACAGTTCACGCGACTCCTACACACATGCTGCTCTGGATTTGGACAAAAAATAATTGTTTGGCAACAAAAAACAATGTTCTCCATGTGTCGGAACGGCGATATCCCTCCCGGGTTTGTTTAACTTTCTGTGCGTGGTCGGGTCACTCTGCCATTTCTGTGCGAAAGCGCAGGCCGTCCACTGGACAAATGTTTAGAATGCCTCCTGGTGTAGGCATGTCTTTTGATTGTTTTATCACGGGGCAATGCAAGCCCTTTCAACTTTGTTGAGGAGAGTGAGAGAGAGAGAGAGACCTCACACAGTCTGGAATTGCCTCGGTCTCCAGCAGTTTTCCCCATTAAAATCAAAAGGACTTTTCCTCGGTGAGCCCCGTGACCCCCTGCCTGTCTCATTCAGACTTCCTTGCATGACCCAGCAGTTAGGCCAGAATTTCTGCATCACAGACGAATGCAGGTATAATGGCTCCCACATGTACCATGACAGCCAGTTAATCGACCAAGTCTGAAATGGGGGGAGGGTTTGGAGCGGAGACCACCACCCCCCCACACCCCTCCGGTGGTTCTCTGCTGCCTGGGACAAACACAGCACTGTGCTTCCTGGGACCATCGAACTGGAGTTGTGTGTGGCACATTTGTATTTACTCACTAAATTTAGAACAAGCTCATTGCTAGCTCACTCTCAGGGAATTTCCCCTGTAGCAGAAGAGTGGCGGGGGTGGGGAACGCTTTAGAAGTAAGACTTCTAAAGCAAATTTCTTTGAGAAATGCAATAGAAATTCTCAGGAATTTTGAGAAATATCCGGAACAGAGCAAGGTGGCACTGGGTTGGTCGTGGAAGACCAAGTCGGCCCCTGCTCCTAGCTTCCCCTTGGTGGGAACACTGCTCTTGGTGCGAAGACTTGTTGGCAAAGGACTGAGACTGAAGCGGGGGTGGCCCTGTGTGAAGCTATGATCTAATCCAGGCAGGGGGCAAAGATAGACTCGACAGGAGCCTTAACAGGGTTAATAAGCTGTTAATTACCATTTCTTGTCAATGATTAACTGTGTGTTAAATTAAAAAAGTGCTAATTGTTATTATATCTGAAGCATTCTTTACTCATACATACCTTTTTGTCAAGTGTCATTTGATACCCCGAAACTGAAGTGTTACCCCAATATGACTTTCCAGTGCTAATTCACAGCTTGGGACCATGTCCTGCTTCTGAATACTGGGATCTGAGAGGCTGGTTTATCTCCCAGCTTGCCATGAGCTCATGGCTGGATCTTCATGTGCGGTTTCTATTGTTATTTAAGGATATCATCCAGAAATGCATCAACATCACCCCAATCCCCCGATGAGTCACCCCCTCAGCCCTCCAGAGTCTTCCGCAGCCCAAAGTAAAAAAAAACGGGACGCAGGAAGTTCAAAGGTCTCTGTTTAATTTTTTTTCATAAACCTAATATATAATACTGTATAAATACTCTGTACACTCTACTCCCTTCTGATCTTTTCAATAACAATAATATCATAAAAAAGCGATAACTTATTATAAAGATTATATTAAACAGGCTGTACAAAAATAAATAATGTCTGCAGTATCTGTACAAAAACATATCTAATAACATTCCTTCTCAGAAGGCAGGAGAGACGTACTTATGAAGTAGAAGACAGACACACAGCGTGGAGACTCCCTCTCCAGGGGGGAGCTCAGGGCTGACTGTGACACCCCCTCTCCACCTGAACACAGCATCACTGACGCACTGAACAAACTCGCCAGTCAACATACCAGAAGACACACTGAACATGCTCTCCACCTGAACACTCATCACTCAACACGCTGCACACACCCCACCATCCAACAAGCCAGAAGACACTCTGAGCACAGAACACACTCACCATTCAACATAGTGAGAATACACTCTCAGCACCGAACACACTGCACACTGAGCAGACTCACCAAATGCACTAAACACACTCACCACTCAGCACGCCTCCCTGACACACTGAACACACACACCACTCAAAACTGCGTAACCAGAGATTGTGCCCAACATTCACAGGCTGTACAGAGGTCACTGAGACAGCTGTTTAGCATTTTTAAAAGAAAAGACAGTCCACTGTTGGTTCATGTTGTTGTGCCCTTTGTGCGGGAGTAGAAACAGCACTGCTCAGCAGTCCAGTGCACAATCTTCAGCCCTGCGGAGACCAGGAGTGTCTGCTGGGACAGTCCTCCCATTCCGAAAGACACTGGGCAACGGTGCGCACACTTGGACCAATAGCAGCTTGTATAGCCCGTCTGGAGGGAGACTGGAGGATGCTGGGAAGGAGGACTCGAGCTGTGACCTTCAGTGCTGAGGTAGGTTGGGAGTGCTTTAGGGCTGCCAAGGCTATCTATCACGAACAAGCCCTCCCACACACACTTACACACACCTTCTCTTCCCACACCACACCAGAGCCGGCAAAGGCTGTTGCAGGGAACTCCAGTCCAGACAGGAGCTGAGGATATACACTCCGCAGAGTCTAAAAATGAACTCCTGTGTGTCTCAGTGTTTCTCCGACAGACAGAACACACACACGCAAGCTGTCCCTCTAACACAAAACCGGCATTCAAAGCAGCATTCTAAACACAGAAGTGTGCCCGACTCCCCATCTGCTCCGTTTCTTAAACTGAAACGCTACTGTACCCACAGGGTGCCAGCTGTAGCCAGGTCCACAGTGGGCAGAAGAGCCGGTGCCCAGCCCTGGCCAGTCCTGCGGGTTTCAGAGCGTGGCAGGCGAGCCCGTGGTGCCACATCAACAGTCCTGTCTCCGGCAGCGCTGGCGCCTTGGGCACTACTCGGCCAAAAAACTCGATTTTCTTCTTCTCTGCTCCCAACAAAAATAGCCCTGCACGGCCTTGCAGCTCAGCTCCAGCTTCAGTCCAGGACCGAAGCAATTGTCTTGAAAAAAACTGTAAACATGTTCCAAACAGGCACACGCACGGAAAAAAAAAAAAAACCTTGCTTCTTTTTGCTCTTTGTGAAGTTTGGGAATGTATGGAGTTCAGTCGCGCTAAATACTCATATACTTGTATGTTTTCGGTCACAACGCAGTCCATCCGACAACGAGAAGAGGGGGGTTAACAACGCGGAGGTTAAAACGTCTCTGCCGAGGAAGAGGGAGATGATTCGCTCTCCTGCGTGGCGAGACGACCAAGACGTCAAGATGGCCTGATGGCCGCCAGTCTCCACTGCTCTCCACTGCTCTCTAGGGGCAGGCGCCAGGGCTGCAGAGGTCAAGCAAGGGTCGCGGCCGGTCCTTGGGGTCGCAGCTGTCCTGTGGGAGGGCGCGGCCATCCTGCCCCACGCACCTTAGCAGCCGCTTGCGGAAGCCACGCCCGCAGGTCTTGGAGCAGGCTGACCAGTCTCCCAGCAGCCAGTGGGGGCAGGGGGCGGGGGCGCAGC